TTTTTCGTTTCTTTGTTTGTGTGCAGGCAAAGGTGTGGCGCCTGTCCCGAGTGCCGGACTGCGACTGATTATACCTTCGAGTGAGTTTAGTGATACATTATACGCATACACATTAGTCACAAGGATATAAATTACAAAAAATGTGACTCATGTAGCTGCCCCCCCCCCACTTGCTAAATAGGGTGGGGCAAGCAGCCACCAGGGAGTGAGCCCTGCTTGAGGCAGGAGTGGAGTGGGGGAGGGTGCTGCTAATTGAGGGCGCAGCTCTAGGTGATCAAGGGGCGGTGGGTGTCGGTGTCGGTGTCGGTGTGTCAGTGTCAAGTAGTCGTACAAACGGGTTCAATTGTGGAGCTAAGAGATCGTTTAGTTTCACTAATGAACTGCTGGTTCCACCACAGCGGAGAAGAGCCAAAGGCACACCGGCACAGGTAAAGGCGGGTGGGTGTTAATTGCATTGGATATGCCTGAATGGATTCCAACAAAGCATTCCAGCACAGCCACCGACGCCCGTCACAATGCTGCTGCTTCCAGTTGCAGGCGGCGCACGCGACCAAAACGCTGTGAAAGTCGGCGTCAACGTCGCGCTGGCTGCTACTGTTGCGGCTCTGCACTTCATTATGACAAATTTACAGTTAATCAACGAGTGCGATGACAAAAAAAAAACAAACAAACAAACACAGAGAGAGTAGGAGGGGGGATTTGGGAAGGTAAAGAGACAGCGAGAGCTAGGGGGGGGCGGTCGTTACACTCGGGTAAATATTGAAAATGAGCCACTAAATCATCCATGTCTCTCCGTTTGTCCATATAACCCTTTTAGCCACCACCCCCTCCCCACCAATGTATGCCTCTCTCTCTCTCTCTCTGGCTGTCTGTCGGTCGGTCTTTCTTGCGTCAAGTGAAACCCGAAAAGAGAATAATACAGAGTGTCGGCTTTCGCGGATACCCTTTAGCTTTATTTATGCAATTTTTACAGCCAATAAATTAGAAGAACCTCAAGTAATAAAAATATAATAATTAATATAATTTATCTTTATGTAGTTATGGTGTGTGCACTGTTAATGATCGGAAATGCTTGTCAATATAAAATATATCCTCTGTCAGGTGGCAAAAATTGATAAAACGAAATGACAATAAACAAGTGCAGAGGAACAAACACAAACGTAAAGACTCCACACTCCACTCTACTCCATGGTGCCCCCAAAAAAGGTAACGCTGGCCAGAGTTCAAGCAACTCTGCACGCAAAAGCAGCAAATCGGGGGAAAAAAAACTAAAAACAAAAGCAGAAAAACCAAAAATTAAAAGGCAAAAGGCAGAGCCAAAATAAAAAGCTTCGACAAAAAAGACCAAGCGACTTTTGCATAAGGACAGTCAGTTGAGAGGGATGTGCAGAGGAATGGAAGAGAGGAGGAGAAAGAGAGAGAAAGGATGCAGCTGCAGCTGATCTGCCGCACATGCAACGCATTATGGGGGCCACTTTCACTGTTGTTACCCCAAGGTGCACACTGGAACATGGCTGTAAATTCTACGATCTTAACGGATTAAAAGTCAATAGATTGAATATTTATCACAATAAATAAAGGGAATATTCAAACATGTACATAATTGTATTTTTAGTTGTTGTTTTTTTTTGTGGATTTTATTGAAAGAATCTTCAATCACGTATCATTTACGTGACTCTCTTTCCTTGAAGAAATGATATCATCGTCGTTGTTGAGCCTTTGTCCGATGTGTTTGCATACAACACGACCCACTGTACGAGGAACGGTGGTGGTGTAGTGTGGTGTGGTGTGGTGTGGTGTGGCACGACGACTTTTGAGTGACAGTGAATTCAAAAATCTTTGGCATGTGCATCCAAATGACAAAGAAATTAAATACAAAGTGAATGAAAACGGACAGGGGGACAGCTAAAACAACAACAACAGCAACTGTATGGAAATGAAAAGTATGTTTAAGTGCCTGAGTAGCCTCCCCCTGCCCACCCCCCCTGCCCAAACCACAGCTATCCTTCTCTTGCCTGCCCCTCGGGGGCACTCAAAATGCACTTGAGTAAGGAGGCATGGCATCCGCAATGTTGATAAAAGCCAAGCTGCAGCAACAGAGTGCAGTCGTGTGTGTGTGTGTGTGTGAATGGGAACAGTAAGATCAGGAAAACAACAACAAAAACAAAAACAACAGCGACAACCGAAAGACCTAATAAACGCGCAGCCAAATGAATTATGTGCCGCCGGGCAGGAGGCGGGCAGACTATCAGCAACATGCAACACACTCCACAAAGAGCATTATTCAGCCCCGCGATAAACCCCATAAAAACACATTGCATATCTCCATCCCCATCCCCCCCCCATTGGAGCACTGACACTGCCACTCAACATGCGCGCGGCTTTGCAGCAATTAACACTGACACTCCCACGCAGAAAAACCAAAAGACGAAGACGCGAACGCGAACGCAGAGACAGAGGCAGAGGCAGAGACAACAAAAGCAGTGCTTTGTGAGTGGGTGGGTGTGTTTTTGTGTGGACACACACACCCACACATTATTTACATACATATGTATGTGCAAATCCTGCCCATAAACGATGCACTGCTTTCTTTGGAGTCGAGTGAATAAACACGCGCTCATCGTACAGGATTAACAGATCTGACTACAAACACATGTACATATGAACGTATGTATAAGAAGAGAGGAGAGAGTCTCAGACTCATACAAAATAATACTACATGTCATATGCAGATCTGATTAGAATAACTACTCGTACAGCCTTCATTTAGGATATCCAATCACACATACAGAGCTTTTAGAACAAGCAAAGCAAGGCAAACAAAAAGAGGCAAGAACCGTTACACAGCAATTGAATGCGGAACTGTATTTATCTCCCGCTCTGCCGCCACTCCCTCTCTTTGCATTAGTCATCGTTAAGCGCGCGCTACTCCCCGCTTCTCTTTGCCGGCGAAGAGCAAGCAGCAAGCAGCAAGAATAACAAAAAAAAAAGAAAAAAAGAAACAGATTCCGAGCTCTTAAGTGTCAATCAGTGCACTGCTGCCCCCACACTGACCTCGCCCCTGCCTGCTCCATGCTCCATGCTCTGGTGTGCGCCCATTGTGTGTGTGTTTCTCTTTATCCTGTTTTCATTCTACGATTCTTGAGTATTAATCGTTTCGTTGGCCATGCACACTCGTTGGCCCCATAACGCATACAATGCCCCCGCTTTGTGCTTCTGATTAACGGGTCGCGCGTGCAGAAGGAGCTGCCAACTTGCTGGCGCAATCTTCTTGCAATCGAGCGATCAACCATCAAACCATCAACCGAATGGACTGCCCGGTTTTTTATGAGAGGCACTGTGCTGCCAGCGCAGCCCTCCAGGGCAAGTGCAGCGTGGGCGTTTCATTTCATTTCGTTTCGTTTCTTTTCATTTTTTGGAACTGCCGAGAATCACGAGCTAAGCAAAAGCAGTAAAATAATAGTACTGGCCACATGCAATGAGAAGTGAGGTCAGAGGGAAACAAAAACAGAAACAATTGCAAACTATTAAATTTGTGCATAATAATTGAACAGAAACTGCTGCCAGCTTGACTGGTGCTGGTGTGTGGTGTGTGCCCCCTGAACCAAGGTAGTCGTAAGCGATCGCACAGTGGGGCCAAATCGATTGGATGCAGAGCATTGGTTCATATTTTTGAGAGATTTTGGAAAACTTACAGAGTGCAGCGAAACAATTGGAACAGTAAAGAGTTTTCAGAGTACAAGAATTAGAAATTAAGGAAAATTGTTGGGCCTGTTGTACGGTTTGCTTTCTAGTAGCTTTTCTTTCTACCCCCAGTTTGGGATCCCAGAGACCCACCCCATCATCACCCACTGTGCGACGCTGGCGTTTTCAGAGCTGAGACGTAGTTTTTCACGCTCTCCAAGTGGCTTTGCATGTGTGTCTGGCAGTGTGTGTGTGTGTGTGTGCGGGCTTGAGATTTTTATTTTAAGCAGAAACTGGTTTTCAGAGCTGTCTTCCTCTGCCCCCCTCCCTATAACCATCCTGCCTCTTACAGCCATCATTGACAGCAGCAGCAGCAACAGCAACAGCGCCTCTGGCAGCCAGCTAGCTCGCTCTTTTACGTGCCGTCTTAGTGTTGTCATACTATGGAAATAAATGAATAATACTCATATTCAAATAATATTCAACCGAAATTCCCTTGAAATACTCTTCAAGTGAAAGATAGTTCAGTCTGTGGCACTACCGTTGCTTGTCGGTTAGTCATAGCGTCATAGTGGATGGATGGGTGGAATGAGTGAATGGGATGTGGGATGGGCGCACAGGCAGCGCAGTCGACAGCGACAGCGACATTGAACTTGTGCGTTGACAGAGCATGCGCATGCGTTTGTTGGCAGTTGCAGCAACTGCCGACTCCCCAAAGACGATTTTACAGTAATTTAAATGCAACGTTTTACCAAAAATTTGCATATTTTATCAGTAAATCCAAATATATATGAGAGACAACATTTTATTTCAGATCAGAAGAGAGAGAGAGATGTTTGCTCTGCTGCTTCCTCTCAACTCCCACTTACACACAGCACCACCACATGCACCGTTACCTCCCATCTATGTATGCGTCAGTCTGTGTGTGTGTGTGTGTGTCTGATGCGTCTCATCTCTTCTTCTCTTCATGGGGGGTTGCTTTGCAAGGCCAGCTCTGAAGTCGCAGCCGCTGCGGCGGCGGGGTATCCATGGCGCTGGCGTTCGCCGGCGGCGACGACGACGTCGACGACGCCCACATGCACCGGGTTAACGGCAGCTTCTTTTGCCTTTACTACTTCTTCCACATCTTCTTGTTTGTCGCTGCTGTAGCCTTCGCATTTGTGTGAGTGTGTGTGTGTGCGCTTGTGTGAGTCATGCAATTGGCATTTAATGTTAATAACTTGCCCCACCTCCCACACCGATAGAGGGGCCACCCCCAAAAACCCAAAACGCAGAGAGCGGTCGAACAGTTCTTATTGATTTACCGTTACACTTACCTCTGTGAATTTCTCTTTGATCTCTGTCTTTTCATCAATGGAGAGGGTTTTCGTGAATTTATTTAATGTTGCCATTTTGTTGTTGCTTTGTTGATGCTGGCCGATAGACGCGCTTTCTTAATTATTTCTACTGATTGTTTGATTGGTTGTTATTTTAAATAAATTATGCGTTTATTGTTAATTTCACTTTGTCGCCTGTCGGCGTTTCATTCGTTTTCTCTCTCGCACTCTTTACAATCTTGTTTTGCCGCGCTCCTTCTTCCTCTCGACGGCTACGAACGTGTACGTCTGTGTAAGCGTCTGTGTTTGTGTATATTGGAGTGGTAGCGGCGACACTTTCTTTTGGGTGGCGTCGGCGACGTTTTTTCTTAATTTTTATTATTAATTATTAAGATAATGAAGATAACTCTCCTATACACACTACGATGCACCCTCCTATGCCTTCTTAACTGTTTCAGTTATTTTCGCTAAATCCCCTCTCTCTCTCTCTAACACACACACGCGCACAAACAATTTTCGTAATTGTTGTTGTTCCGTATATTTGCACTTCAGAAACCGTTTTCCCAAATAACAAAAAAATTTTATAAAAAAATCGATTGTAGAATGGATCTACAAACAACTGTCCCGGATGCTGGATTTGTAGACTTGTGCTATCTGCATTTGCCGGCTACAAAATAGAAAATAAAAACATCTCGTTGTACGGGGTCGGGTCACACTGAAAAATAACTTTGTGTTTTCTATAAAATATACCGACCCTTAGAATATACCAAAAAATACTTTCTCATTTTCAAAATATACCGTAAATATACCGTAGAGAATCATATTCCTCGATTTTGATATTCCGTTTGATATTACTAGCTAGTTGGCCCTCTCGGCCATAAACCAATAATTTTATCCGATAGATACACAAATTTTGTTCAGGATTGGCAAGTTTTCAGAAGTCCTTTTCATTGGATTATTTACATATTAAGGTTTAAACAAAATCAACATAAAACGATATGACCTAGTTTTGAGGCGTTGCCAGACTCGTGCAATTCGTAGTTGCAGCGGGCTGCCATAACATGATATTTTGTGATAAGAAATTCGTAAATTTTGATATTCCGTTTAATATTACTAGCTAGTTGGCCCTCTCAGCCATAAACCAATAATTTTATCCAGTTCCTCAATAAATTTTGTTTAGGATTGGCTAGTTTCCAGAACTCTTTTTCATTGGACTTTTTATATAATAAGGTTCAAACAAAAGCGGCCAAAGTATAAAACGTAAATTTTGACTAAATGTGACGTCAGTGTTGCTGGTCAACCAAGTTTCTTCTATGCGTATGTATTTTTTATATACCTTATTTATTTTAATTGGTGTTAAATGTTTTGTTTTAAGCTCCACTGAAACATTATTTATGATTTTATCCTAGATTGACATTTTTTTTTGCCCATTAATGCACATGTTTGTGTTTTATATATACATTTATCCCGGTTCTGATACCTATTATTGGAACCCGTGAGCTGCAAAATTTCATAATATCTTTAAAACAGAGACTGAGTAGTCTCTGCATTAATTGGAGCCTGAAATTACAAACAATATCTCAAGTCCATTATATCCATTTTCCCAAGGTATGCAGATTGTTGATCATTCCGTACCAATTCATTTCCCCATGTTGCTGAAATCTTTCCCATACAAATCAAATGTAGCTTTCGGATTCCCGTAAGATACATGCCGCTCACACCACGAAAAAGAGAGCAAATTTTGAAAAAAACACCACGATTTGAGAGCGAATAATTTTTTTGTACGATAAAAGGAGTTTGGCGGTCATTTTGAAAAGTTTCTTAATATACTGAAAAATAAATATTTGATTTAATTTGTTTTGTCGGTGCTGTCCACTGTGGCGTGAACCTCATAAATATTCCAAAATATACCTTCTCATTTTCAAAATATCTGCAATTGCCGGCTACAAAATAGAAAATAAAAACATGTCGTTTACGGGGTCACACTGAAAAATAACTTTGTGTTTTCTATAAAATATACCGACCATTAGAATATACTGAAATATGCTTTCTCATTTTCAAAATATACCGTAAAAATACCGTAGAGAATCATATTCCTCAATTTCGATATTCGATTTAATAGTACAAGCTAGTTGGACTGTCACCAAAGAAACATATAATTTTGTGCGAATCACTAATCAATTTTCTACAATCTAAGAAGTCTCAATTATTGGATTGTTAATAAAATAAGGTGAGAAGGTCAAAATAAGCGCAAAAAAATGTCTATTTTTGTACATGGTAACTTCACGGTAACTACACATTTGCTACATAGCAAGAACCTCTTTTGAGTATTTTACATTTTGTATATCGGTAGTTTTGTGCGATAAGCGGGTCCATCTAGTATGGTTCGTGACTGTTTTAAACCCTGGAGATCGCCTGCACCTGCATTTTAGCCTTTTCGTTAAGGTCACGTCCGTCTGTTACCAATCCGCCGGAGGACACTTGCTCATCCAGAGGTAGGTCGTTACCACCAGAACTCGCCTGCCCGTGTGTGGGTGTACCTGTACCCGAGCCGTTCCTGCAAGCGCGAGTGTGCGTGCCTGGGTGTGCGTGTGTGTGTGTGTGTGTTCCAGTGTTGGCATGTGTGTATACATATGTCATTGCTGAAACAACAACAAAGCAAGCGCTGAAACGCATTTTCATTTCAACATTTCCTGCAGTGTACGCCGCAACAAAAGACCTGCCCCGCCAGCCCACGAGACTCGGAGCAGAGCAGAGCTCGCCGCAATAACAAGACCCCGCACCCACACAGGCGCAGCGGTAGAAGAAGAAGAACAACAAGCAGAAATCAGCCGAGTGAACGCCGCCGACGCCGCTGCAGTCGCCGCTGTCGCAATGGATGTGGAGGAGAACTACGAGTCCCAGAATGCCACAGAGAACCAGGACCAGACCCAGCACCAGCAGCACCAGCACCAGCAACATCTGCAGTTGCAGCTGAATCTGCAGCAACAACAACAGCAACAGCAGATGCAGTGCGAGCCGCTCTTTGGCCTGACCACCAACACAACCACCACCACAAATCCCATGATGGAGACGAACAGCATCGCCATACCGCTGCCGGCGCCGCCCGGGACAGCGGGAAGCGTTGTCGTCTCCTCGTCAGCACCAGCCTCACTCCCGGCATCGTCAACAGCGGTGCCGCACCAGCCGAAGGGCCTGCCCACGAACGACTTTGATATCGACTCACTGCTGCTGCAGCAGTTCAGCTGCATGGGCACCACAGACCATGAGGATCTGATTAGTCAGTTCCAGAGCCTCATGAACAACCAGATGAACCGGGAGTCGGCGCGCTTCTACCTGGAGATGAGCAATTGGTAAGGGGTCTGCTTCCAGCTGTGCGTCCAGGCATCTTGCTGATATCTTTCCTTCTGATTCAACCCAACAGGAGCCTGCAAACAGCCGTCGGCTGCTATTTGGACTTTTGCAGCCTGCAGTCGCTGCCATCGATGAAGATCGTCCAGGGGCAGCATGTTAATGCCCAGCAGCAGGCGTTCCAGCTGCAGAACGATGGCACCGAGCGGTGGCCCAACAACTGCTATCTGACCTCGCCCATTCAGACGCAGCGCATCAATATACCATCGCTGCGACCGGGTGAAACTTGTGATATACTGGCTGATCTGATGCCCACGCAGCCGCCGATCATGTGGCGCCTCTGCACACCAAATGGCTGGTATTTCGGCGGTGAGCAACGACGATGTGGCAGCAAAGCCCCAAAAAACCCGATTACCCCGGGCAGTTGAGACTTGTTGCTTTCCCTCCCATATTACCCCCCACCCCATGCCAAACAGAATTGCTAATTGACTATTTCGTTTTGTCCATAGATGCCATTTGGATGATACCGCCAGGTACACAGGCCAGCCAGGACGAACTGCAGCAGCGCATGGTGCAGCTGATCACGTCGGAGGCCAAGCCGGAGGTCTATCCGCAAATCAACATCGTGATAACGGCGCACACACACTGAACACACGGAGCAGCAGCAGCAGCAGCAGCAGCAGCAGCACCAGCATTATTTTCATAAGAAATTTCAACAAAAACAAAACAAAACAAAACAGAAACGACAAACAAATAATTTAGAGCGAGCAGAGTACTTCCCGGGCTCAGAGGAAGGCTGATGCACACTGGAGAGAGACTCCTGCCTCCGGCCAAACTTTTGACACACGAAGAACCATTTCCTGGATGCACGAAATTGAAAAGCTGGTACATCCCCCCCGTTCCCACACATGCGGACTGCATTTCAGATGTTTTAAATTGAGCGACTTTTATTATAAGATTTAGGTCTGCATCCTGTCCCCTTCCCCCCCCACACACACACACCCACCATATATCCAAGCCAATACTTTTCGACTAGCATAATATTGTTCTCAGTAGATTTGTACACACACAAGATAACTTTTGTAAGCCTCCCCCCCTCCCCATCCCACTCTCCCATACACCCACCCATCCAACCATTAAATACATATGCGATTATGTAGCCGCAGCCATTAGCTGTATGGAAACCGTTTAGCAGAGCCAGTTTCCCCTGCCCCCGCTCGGGCGCCCACACTCCACACCACATAAGAACCTGCCTCCTCCTCCTCCTACTCCTCCTCAAACTTTTATGTATAAACAAAGTTGTTGAGTTCAGATGTAGTTTACATTTCTCCTTTCTTATTGTAATTTTTTTTTTTTTTTTCTATTTTGGTGCCAGACGACGCGAGGTTCGAGGTTCGGCTCTATCCGTATGCCCCGGATATAACTAAGAGCAATTTATGAAAATGAAATTAAATTTGTTCTAAGTTCCAAGCGGAGAATGTGTGTGTGTGTGCGTGTGTGTGTAATGCCGCGCAATTGTTTATAATTATTCTTTTATTTTTTTGTCGAATTATTTTTATTTTCGAATTTGTTTTTTTTTTTTTGCTCTTCCCGCAGTTGAGAATTTGTACCCGTACACTGTAACAAAATTAGACATGTAAGTGTTTAAGTGTTTTAATAAGCCTAAGAAATACAAGAGGAAAGAAAAAAAAAAGAGTGGTTCTGATTTCATTTTGGTTGGTGTACGCAGAAAGTCCATCACATTTTATATAAATTAAACTAAAAATTAATTTATTTCCAAATTTAAATAAATTTGAATTTACTCTGAAAAGGTGGCAGCACTTTAGCTGCTATTTTTTTGCCATGGTGGCAGCTCTTTCAGTTTTCTTTATTGCGTGATAGGGCAGCACTGGCAGAACCAAAAACATTCACAGCGAAGCCGATTTGAATTTGAAAAGTTGCCGCCAAGCATATGGAAATTCATATTTTATCTTATTTAAATTGAATTCCGAATTTTTTGCCATTTTAGACAAGTGTCCTCAATCATGAAAAGCATATTATGCTTTGCTTTGATATATTCATCAAATAATGCAATCCGATTACGAGCGGCACTATTTATGCTTGCCATTTGCAACTTGCTGCCTGCCACCTGCCAGAATCCGTTGCATGAAAATGGTAATGCAGAAGAAACAAAAAAGACACACTCACACACACACACACACACCTGCATTCGTACAGTGTGGGCCAACATATTAGCAGTGCATATGTGACTAGGAATATTTGGCGAATTTGTGCCAACCAAATAGAACTCGTAAGCGAATTTAATAGATCAATTTGGAGCTGATTTATGTGGTCCA